GACCGGACGGAATCTCAGGTCGTGTCCTCAGAGCCTGCGCTGACCAGCTAGCACCTGTGTTCACAGTAATATTCAATCTCTCGTTAAACCAGTCGGTAATCCCCACGTGCTTTAAACAGTCCATCATTGTTCCAGTCCCAAAGAAAATCCATCCTGCTTCCCTCAATGATTACCGCCCTGTGGCTCTGACCTCAATAGTGATGAAGTGCTTTGAGAGACTGGTCAGAGACTTCATCATCTCTTCACTACCAGACACACTAGATCTACTACAGTTCAAGTTCGCTTACCGGCCAAACCGTTCAACAGATGATGCCATTACCCATCTCCTTCACACATCACTCACTCACTTAGACACTAGAAAGGGCAACTATGTCAGGATGTTGTTTGTTGACTACAGTTCAGCGTTCAACACTATAATTCCCTCCATACTCACCACCAAGCTGAAACAACTGGGACTTAGCCCATCTATGTGTGAGTGGATCTCCAACTTTCTTACTGGCAGACCACAAGCAGTAAGAATGGGCAGACATGTATGAGCCTCCCTCACCTTCAGCACTGGAGCCCCTCAGGGTTGTGTTTTGAGCCCCCTGCTGTACTCATTGTACACTTATGACTGCATGGCCTCTACCAACTCCACTACCATCATCAAGTTTGCTGATGATACCGTTGTAGTTGGACTGATTACCGGCAACAATGAGACGGCCTACCTGGAGATTAGGAATTTGGAGAACTGGTGCCAGAGGAACAACCTCCTCCTCAATGTCAGCAAGACAAAGGAGTTGATAGTGGACTTTAGTAAAAAGCAGGAGAGGAACTACCAGACCCCGATGATCAACGAGAGCCCGTGGAGAGAGTGGATAGCTTCAGATACCTCGGCGTACACATCTTGCCGGACCGGTCATGGTCCGGTCATATCAACACCGTGGTGAAAAAGGCTCGGCAGCGTCTTTTCCATCTTAGACGCTTGAGAGACTTCAGACTGCCCGCTAGGGTGCTTAGGAATTTTTACTCCTGCACCATAGAGAGCATCCTGATGGGAAACACCACTACCTGGTTTGGGAACAGCAGCGTGCAGGACAGACGAGCTCTTCAGTGGGTGGTGCGATCAGCTGAGAGAATCATCCGAACTAAACTCACTGACCTGAATTCGATCTACAACAAGCGGTGCTGGTCCAAGGCCAGGAAGATCGTGACTTTTCTCTTTGTTGAGGTCTGGGAAGCGTTTTTGCTCCCTGAAGGCCAACACAGAGAGACTGAGGAGAAGCTTCTTCCCTCAGGCTATACGGTCTCTCAATCAGATCTCTATATAGACATACATTCTACTGTCTGATTAGGTAAATGTTCTTACACCTCACATTTACTGCATATCTGCACTTTAAAAAGAATGGTCAAAAGGAAGGTCAATACACTGCTGGTCATCACCTTAATTCATTCACTCCATATAGCTGCTGTTAGCACTCGCACACTTTACACTTCATACTGTATTTGCATTTTTAGTCTAATTTAAATTTTTAATATTTAAATTTCAACATTGATATTTTATTTTGTGATGTAAAAGTCTTATATTATTATTGATTCTTCTCTCTACTTGTACTTCTCCCTCTCCTTCTTGCAGTCGTGTAAGCATTTCACTGCATATCATACTTGTACGATTATGTATGTGACAAATAAATAAATCTATCTAGCTATCTATCCCTACTGAAAAGTCTTGGAATGTAGGGAAGGCAGGAAACACAGGTGATTATAATAGCTCATCTCTTACACAAACCTTGAGATAGATTTTTTTTTTTTTCCTCTGACAGGTTGCTTTAAAGCTAAATCAAAGCTTGTGACATCTTATCAATGGTGGTAGCCATGTTGAGCAAAAAATTATTTTGTCGAGATAGAATTTGTTTTGAATGAAAAAGTAGTTTTAAACAAATTGGCGATACCCCTCCAGATTGCGAATACCACATCGCTGTTTTGTGTTAGGTTGGAACGTACAGATGCATTATTCTGATCCTTAGCAAAGTATCTTGGCTATGGGGACAGCACAAGAAAAGACTGTACATGAGAAGATGGTATCCATATGGGAGCACGTTTATAATTAAGTGATTGAATATACTGTATGTCAATGATGTCTGATGGCATTAGGGGACATTCTATGATTTTTCTTAGTGATAAATGTGTTTAACTGTGAATCCTAGAAGTTACACTTTTAGAAAAGACATCAAGAAGGAGGGTTCCCTTCTAGATTCATAGATTTTTGGCAACTCCGGTTGTCCAGTGCTATACACATGCTGAACAAACTCCAGTAACACAGAATAAATAGCCACAATGGAAATGTACTAAACCTAAAGTAAGTGTTTTTCCCCATAGTTCTCTTAAGAGTCACGGGAGGACATATACTGAACTTTGGGCCATGGCAGGATACTAGTATATCGCGAGCTACAGCTCACGGTATACTGAGACCGCCGCAACCGGGGCGCTTCCCAACATTACTGTCACCCAGCTGCGTGAGCAACAGCGGGCTCTGCCTATCTGGAGGCAGAGCCAGCCCCCTCCCTCGTCCGTTTCTCCAGTCAGCGCTGGAGGATCGGAGCGGGGAGGGGGGGGAATCCCTGCCGGGAGCCATGACTGACAATCACGGCTCTCTGGAGGGACAGGATCGAGAAGTGAGCCAACAACGGTATGTCTCTGCTCACTTTCCAATCTATTGAGCCGATGTGCAACAGTTTCATTGTCACACGTCGCCTCCATCTATGAGGCTGAGTGATTTTCACTCACCTCATAGTTCTCCTTTAACCCTTTCGCTGCCGAGGACGTACGTCGTACGGAGCTACAAAAGTGCTTCCAGCTGGCCAGCTCAGTACGTCGTACGGACCTGGCATTTACAGTTCTACTATAAGCTGATGGTCGCTTTAGCGACCATCAGCTTATAGTAGAACTGTTCAGAAGACCGTCCCCTCACAAGCCGCTGATGACTGCTAATTTTAAAAATACCGGGCGCCCCCCCGCACCGCCGCCGGCATCTGGAGTCTCTCATCCCTCCCTGGAGCCATCCCAGGGAGGGATGAGGGACTCCATGGATCCCCACTGCTTGTAGGGTCTGTGGCAGCGGGGATCCGTACAAAAATCACCGGCGGGGGGGTCGGGGGGGTCCCGGGAACGAGCGGCGGCTGGCCGCAATTCAGGATGGCCGAGCGGTGTTCCGATCCGAGCCGCTGTCATCCTGTCAGTTTTTGGATGACAGCGGCTCTGTGTAGCGTGGCCGAGCGGGGGATCGTTAAATATCAATGATATTTAACGATCCCTCTGTGCAGAGCAAACACCGGAGTGATCGTCTGATCACTCCGGTGTTTGTAAATAACTGGGGACACATAGTACTATGTGTCCCCAGTTATGAATGAACAGGCTGCGATCTACATCACAGCCTGTTCATTCAAGAATTTATGAATGGGGACTAGCACTCACTACAGAGGCTCCTCCCCATTCAGAAACTAATGATAGTAAAATATTTTTACTATCATTAGTTTGTGAATGAATGAGAAGCCTCTGTACTGAGGCTTCTCATTCATTGAGTGCTGGGGCTGCAGAAAAAGAAATTGAGGACTTATGTCCTCAATTTCTTTTTCTATTTCAAAAGGGAAATGTCAGGGGTCTATTTAGACCCCAGAGATTTCACTGTGGCCCCCCCAACAGTAAAAAAAAGTAAATACAAAATTAAAAAATAAATAAAAAATGTAAAAAAAAAAAAGTAAAACAAAATAAATTTTAAAAAAAATTTAAAATGTGTAAAAAAAAAACTAATTAAAAAAAGCACAACCCCTCCCTCCCCCCACATAACATACACATATTGAGGTGTACGCCATGCACATGCGCTGCAGTGCGTTGTTAGAACGCATCGCAGTGCATGATCTTTTTTATTTATTTTTTTTCTTAAAAAAAACCCATTAAATTAACTGTGGCAGCGCATGGCAAAGCTTTGTGACTCATTGCCATGCGTTGTGATACCTTGTGTTGCAATTAAATATACACCTGTATCATTTTATCACAACACAAACACCAAAACAATTTTTTACATAAGTCGATTATTTACAGTTTTGCATACCTTCATTTTTTTACCTTTTCGCAAAAAGGCGCAATTACAAATTTGCTAATATTTGTTATTTATTAACTCAATACAGTTTTATCTTTTAGATTTAGTCAGAAAATAATTTATTTTGTGCACGGATACTGATTTTGGTGTGTTTTAACAATTGAATTGTGTATTTTTATCGGTTTAATATTAATTTGAGAAACATTTGCGCAATTATCGCAGGGCCTACAAATTTAGTATCACCATCTTTTTATTCTACCGGGCCTGCGCTTTCAGAAAATATATGGTTTGGGGGGTCTTTTACAAACGCTAGCAACGCAGCAGTTGAAAATCAAACCAATAGGAAAAAATTGCAGAAAATTCAAAAATGGCTTGGCCAGCTGATTTGAAAAATGTTCCGGAGGGCTTGGCAGCGAAAGGGTTAAGTTCTTAGGATCATGGCACCTTTTTGCAGATGCTGCATACATTACACATCTATTTAGCTGTACAGCTCACACAAAGGTAGTTCATTTTACAATAATGAGACAATAAAATAATAGTAACCATGGAATATTTTGTGGGTATTTGCTCGGCCACAATAATCATTTACCTGCAACAGAAAATAATATTTTACATTATGTAAACAGGTTACGCTGGATAAACAGTAACAGCTTACCTTTTGATTCAATGACATTGTTGTCGCCAATCTTCATTGCATGAGAATCTGCATGTTGTTATTAAGGTCTATTTAGGTGTATGGTACATTTACAAAACTAGGAAACCAATAAAGAAATAATTCATTTCTACCCAGTATGATCAAGACAGCTGGTTTAGAGAAAGATCTTTGCCAGCAAGACACAATCATCATATTATTGTGCTCTTATACATAAATGCTAAGGTAGAACTTCATGAAGATAGAAGAGACCCTTATTATGTCCAGCTATGCATTCAGTAAACATATTTCTAATATAGCTAATTCAAGTACCTTACTTAGCTTTGTATCAGCTTTATGTAATCTCCTGCACAGCAGAACTGCTCATTTCCTGCCCCCTCTTATCTTCTTTGCCTTAAGAGGAACAACCAGCAGAGCCACATGTTACTGTTTATTGAATGCTCTGGCTACTCTCCTACATTGCAATCTATGCTGGGGGTTTTCTGATAAAAGTGTAAAAGTATATTAAAGAAGATCATTAACCCCCACACTGCAAGGGTTAACGGCTTGTTTTTGTCTAGGGGACTGAATAAAGAAGAAATACTCACCTGATCTTCAATCCCTCACCTCTCTCCTCCTCCACTCCGGCTGTTGTATGTCCCACTATGTCTTCATGTCTACTACACTGTATTTGATGTGATGCCTTACAGGACCTTAGAGCGCCTGAGAGGCGAGGGAGAGAGGCTACGGGGACCAGTCTAGCAGCGAGGTAGGACTGAGGATCAGGTATTTCCTCTTTATTCTGTCCCTTAGACAAAAACGAGCAGTTAACCCTTGCATTAGGGTTAACTTTTAAAATTCCTGGAGTTCCTCTTTAACTACAATAAGGTCCCAGTTTTGCAAGGATGAAAAAACTGGCTGAAAAAGTTTATTAATTTTTGGTAGGCAAGACAATTTACTGCAACTACACTATATTGCCAAAAGTATTAGGATGCCTGCCTTTACATGCACATGAACTTTAATGGCATCCCAGTCTTCGCCCGTAGGGTTCAGTATTGAGTTGGCCCGCCCTTTGCACCTATAACAGCTTCAACTCTTCTGGGAAAGCTGTCCACAAGGTTTAGGAGTGTGTCTATGGGAATGTTTCACCATTCTTCCAGAAGCGCATTTGTGAGGTCAGGTACTGATGTTGGACAAGGCCTGGCTTGCAGTCTCTGCTCTAATTCATCCCAAAGGTGCTCTGTCGGGTTGAGGTCAGGACTAGGTACAGGCCAGGCAAGTTCCTTCACCCCAAACTCGCTCATCCATGTCTTTATGGACCTTGCTTTATGTACTGGTGTGCAGACATGTTGGAACAGGAAGGGGCCATCCCCAAACTGTTCCCACAAAGTTGGGGGCATGAAATTGTCCAAAATGTCTTGGTATGCTGATGCCTTAAGAGTTCCCTTCACTGGACCTAAGGGGCCAAGCCCAACCCCTGAAAAACAACCCTAACACCATAATCCCCCCTCCACCAAACTTTACACTTGGCACAATGCAGTTAGGCAAGTACCGTTCTCCCGGCCAAACCCAGACATGTCCATCGGATTGCCAGACAGGGAAGCGTGATTCGTCACTCCAGAGAACATGTCTCCCCTTCTCTAGAGTACAGTGGCGGCGTGCTTTACACCACTGCATCCGACGCTTTGCATTGCATTTGGTGATGTAAGGCTTGGATGCAGCTGCTTGGCCATGGAAACCCATTCCATGAAGCTCTCTACGCACTGTTGTTGTGCCCATCTGAAGGCCACATGAAGTTTGGAGGTCTGTAGCTATTGACTCTGCAGACAGTTGGTGACTTCTGCGCACTGTGCGCTTCAGCATGCGCTGGCCACGCTCTTTAATTTTTCGTGGCTGAGTTGCTGTTGTTCCCAGTTGCTTCCACTTTGTTATAATACCACTAACAGTTGACCTTGGAATATTTAGTAGCAAGGAAATTTCACGGATGGACTTATTGCACAGGTGGCAACCTATCACGGTACCACGCTTGAGTTCACTGAGAGCGATCCATTCTTTCACAAATGTTTGTAGAAGCAGTCTGCATGCCTAGGTGCTTGATTTTATACACCTGAATCCAATGATTTGGAGGGCTGTCCAAATACTTTTGGCAATATAGTATATGTATCTATATCTGCTTCAATACAAAAAAAATTGAAATATTCATTCCTTTTTAAAGCTAGTTGGCCCAAGCATAGTACAGTACGTATTTTTACAATACGTGACAAAAAAGGGCTCACTCACATGAACACTGGCAGTTTTGTGTCCCTGGTCTGTATGCATATGTGGCTGTATGCAAGTATCGGCAAATACCTGCTTATAGCCACTGACTATAATGGGAGGCTGTATGCAATATCTGTGTCTCCCTGGCAAAAGGAAATACATTAGTATTTCTGTTGTGCAGGCTCAGTTACTTGTGTGCATGAGCCCTAAGGATGTGCTGTTTAGGTTTTAGACTAAAAGGTCTATTGGGAGACAGTTCTTGTGGTTTCTCAGGGTAATAGAAAATAATATGCATATTTTTCCAGGCCCTCTTCCTTAATAGTTCAAAATGAAGAGATTAAAGCTAGACACACACTACTAAAGTGATGTTTGCTTAATGGATACCGCATCCAACTTCAAACACATTGTTGGTACCGATGACCATGGGTTTTGGCTCCATATCTTGTGAGTCAGGTGCAATATTTTCAGGATAACTGTAAGAAACAAAAAACTGTAACGGTTAGTTACTGTACTGGTATTCTGCCAAGGCTCTCCTCAAGTGTGGTCAACATATTTACACAGGAAGAAGAGATAAATGTCTACCAAAGTATCAACCATTCAACTCCAAAAGACCCAGCTAACCACAGAGAAGGCAAGAAATTATAATAAAACAAAGTCCAATCCACATCTATCAAGTGAACGAGTCATTTTTGAGTTTACATTAGGAATACAATTTCTGCAGTCAACTTTCATATGTCTGAATTATATGAACTGTATCAGAGGTTTTTGAATCCGCTCTTGAATCTATCTAGGTTACGCATTCCATGTAAATTAGACTATGTCATACTGTCAAACAGGTGATTCTGCTGCAGCCGCCACATCAACAGCATCAGAATTACCAAGAAGAGTCTTCCACTTACCTCTATAAAATTACTCCTGGTCTGCAATGCTGCCAAATCTCACTTGCTGGCGAGGGGACAGCAAAGGAATGACATCTCACTGACCTGACCAATGGTGGAACGACTCTATACATGCAATATCCTGATGGGTTGTTGCCAGTGACAGGATGGCTTACATGGCATGGCCCTTAGTGTTTCCAAACCCTGACAAGTGGTCTACAAACAGTCTGATTCTAAAAGAGAAACAAATATTATCTAATAAGATAATAACATTATCTTGTACTTGAATTTCGGTGTGCGTTATGTATTACTTCCAGATCTGTACAGTAATCCAGCATAAAACTGTCTCTGTGGAGGAGCTTCCTGTAATAAAGACCAGTCACCGCTGCTCTCTCTCTCCTGGCGCAGTGACTGGTCTTGTCTCTGCCCCCTCCTATAGTTTTCTGCAGGAAGTCTGCAGTAGGCGAGGCCCCCTGGTTCAATCCTGCAGTTGTACTCTCTTCACAGGTTATCTACAGTGATGATGTCACTGCTACTTTTACAAGGTAACATGCTAAAGCTCCTTCAGCTGGTGCAGATCTTAAAGAGAGGAAATAACACTTCTACTGAACTGTTAGGTATCATAACTCTTCTTTTTCTTTTTGCAGTGTGGCTTGCTTTTACATTTTTATTCATGTAACAAAGTTCCATTAACAATTACTTCCTTCTATATACACAAGATATAAATGCCCCATATACTTTACCCATTTCGTATAAAAGCCTGCTCTTCTATTAGATTGCCTTCACCAATAATAATTGGTCCTGCTTCAGCAAATATACGAGCTTTGGGATGAACAACAGTTCTTGGCCCTGTGCAAAAAGCAGGGGAAAAGGACAACATAATATGTTATCTTTATATTTAGATACATATCTCAGAGAGCAAGATATACAGAGGTAAAGGTGTTCTTAGTAACTCGCATGCACGCAATCACTCACACACACTGAACTTGATGGACCTGTGCCTTTATTTAACTTTAAAGGAAAATTATGAGGCGAGTGATTTTCACTCAGCCTCATAATCTGAGCCGACCTGTGACAATGAAACTGTCACAGGTCGGCTCTGTAGATCGGGAAGTGAGCGAACATATACCGTCGCTTGCTCATTTCTCGATCTATCCCTGCAGAGAGCCGTGACTGTCACTCACGGCTCCTTGCAGGGATTCCCCCCCTCCCCACTCCGATCCTCCAGCTGGCTCTGCCTCTGGACAAGCAGAGCCAGCTGTCAATCACGCAGCTGGGTGGATCGAGACAGAATTGTCGGGATCCGTTTCAGCTGCGGCATCTCAGTATACCGCGAGCTGTAGCTAGCCGTATACTGAGCTTTGGGTCACGGGAGAACGCTAGTTTGTGTTCTTCCGTGACCCTTAGGAGAACTATGGGGAAAAGCCCTGACCCCATAGTTCTCATTTAACAACTATGGGGGAAATGTATCAAAACTGGAGCAGATTTGCACTGCAGCCAATCGGCTTCTCTCTCTCATTTTCAAATCTTACCTGAGCAAACTGAAGAGAGATGCCGATTGGTTGCCATAGGCAACTACTCCACATTCTGTTTGCTCCAGTTTTGATAAATTCCCCCCATTTTAATCGAAGTAATATGGGTTATATAGCATGCCAACAAATATATAATGTATTATTAGTGGAAACTGATAAAAAGCAAGCCGTTCATATAAAAATATATATCTGGAATCTATTCCAGAAGCAAAAATATTGGGCTTTAATTTTATATGATTTTATTTGCCTACATCACCTGCACACCAATGGCCTTAAGCAATCAATGTTTTATTCCTAACTTATCCTGTAAGCGTCTGACTTCAGCAGTGTCTTCTGATTGGTTGCTAGGAGTTACAGTGTAGGTAAATACTAACAAACTTCCATTTGCCTATCCCCGTGCCGTTGACTCCTGGCGGGCCTTTAAGAAGATATTAGTGCCATAAGTCAGAGGGGAAGGGGGCTTCTCGATCGTGTTATTGTTGTGATTTGACGCCACAGTGGTCACATGACCAGGAGCGTTTCCTACCAGCTCCTGATCATAAAATGGTGACTGGGAGCTGCTGCTGACAGCTGCGAGCACGCTCTTAGCACAGAACAATGGGCTGGGTGGTGCGTATATGCCTACAACTAGTGTTAAGAACCACCAGGGTGACGCATATACAGGTGAAACTCGAATAATTAGAATATCGTGCAAAAGTAATTGCAGTAAGTGCTGCAAAAGGGGCCCAAACCAAGTACTGAGTACATATGCATGCTTGTACTTTTCAGAGGTCCGATATTGTTCTATGTACAATCCTTGTTTTATTGATTGCATGTAATAATCTACTTTTTTGAGGTTGTGGATTTGGGGTTCTTGGGGTTTTCATGAGCTGTAAGCCATAATCATCACAATTATGACAAATCACGGCTTGAACTATCTTGCTTTGCATGTAATGAGTCTATCTCATATATCAGTTTCACCTTTTAAGTTGCATTAGTGAAATAAATGAACTTTGCACAATATTCTAATTATTCGAGTTTCACCTGTATGCAATACACCAGCAGGACGGTGTTCATTTTTAGACTGTTAAAATATACCATTGGAAGAGTTTTGTTATATCTGTTCGATACATGAAAAAAGATCTGTTGATCCTGCTAGAAATCCAGTGAGTTTGTAACATTAAAAATGTAGCCTATATAAAATGCAGCCACCACATCTAATAGATTCTCTATAGATTTTCTTCTATCAGCCTATGGTCAGATGGAAAAAGTGCAACAGATTCCATCTACGCTAAAGTGTGTGGATGGAGGAATCTCCCACTAGGCCAAGCTTCAGTATCTTTCTAGTGGTCCCCGCTGGCTCTCAAAATACTTGAACAATCTGATTGGATGCAGGCATTGTTCAGGTATTTTGAGAGCCAGCGGGGACCACTAGAAAGATACTAAAGCTTGGCTCAGTGGGAATTTCCTCCATCCACACAGTTTAGCGTAGATAGGGGAATCTGTTGCACTTTTTCCCTCTGACCAGAGAAAATCTGCAGATAATCTATAGGTTAATAAATTCTCTGGAAACATATTAATTGAATAAGGCTACAAATTATAATATCAATGGCAACACTATTAAAAGAGAAGTATTGGGAGAGTAAATGAACTCTTCCCAATACTTAGAGCTCTATAGATCAAGAAGGTGATCGCTCAGCTAACTGTCTTCTCCCTGCAGAGAGTGGTGACTGGCATTCACCCTTCCCTGCAGGGATTCCCCACTCTCCTCTATCTCTATTCCTCCAGCGCTTATTGGAGGGACAGACAGGGGAGGGGGCGGGCACAGATGGTTCTGGCTCTAGAGAGGCAGTTCCAACTGTCAATCAGGTAGCAGGGTGGATCCCGACAATATTGTAGGAATGCTTCCTGGCTGCGGTGCAGCTCTGCGCTGTCAGCATTTAACAGGCAATATAATGCCCACTATATGCTGAGCTTCGGCTCACAGGAATACATCAGTAAATGTACTCCTGTGACCCAAATAAGAGCTAAAGCCAAAACGAGGTTTGGCTTTAGTTTTCTTTCAACAGCAATGACAAAAACAATAATATTACTTAAAAGAAAACTATGGAGTAAGTGTTTTTCCCCATAGTTCTCTTAAGGGTCATGGGAGGACATATACTAGCATCCTCCTGTGACCCAAAGCTTAGTATATCACGAGCTACAGCTCGCGATATACTGAGGCCGCAGCAGCCAGGATGGATCTTGACAATACTGCCTGGATCCACCCAGCTGCGTGAGTGACAGCTGGCTCTGCCTATCTAGAGGCAGAGCCAGCTGTACTACCCGCCCCCTCCCCCGTCCGTTCCTCTAGTCAGTGCTGGAGACTGTGTATTTATGGCAATAATTCTAGCTATTTCTGGCATATGAAAAACACGCTCCAAGGATTTTCTTGCATTTCTTCTGGATTCTGTACATATGTGATGTGTGCTTTCTCTCTGCTCTATGTAATTAGAAGCATTCTAGTTGCATCTAGATAGGATATTAACAGACTAGCAAAGTGTTTCCAGCTTGTTAAATAACATGTATTAAAGAAAAATACAACTTGTACTGACCTATTGTCACATCCCCTTTAATTTCACTTTCCACGCACACAACTGCTCCCGGAGCAATTTTCACACTGAAGGCAAAGAATAAAGATTAGGATGACAGTTTTGACACAATGACAAATATTAGTCATACATATATAATATTTTAAAATATTTTATGGTCTTAAAGAGAACTAAAAACTCACCTGTCATAGCTCCCTCGCCACCAAGAACATCACCTGATCTTCTTTCAGGTTTGGGATCTCTGGCCATCTTGATTGGCCTGGCCAGCATGATGTAATTACTGTACACACACACCAGTTCATTCATTCCGACACAGAGGCGTGCTGAGAATGTACACTGAGCTGTGCATGCTGAGAGCACATTCTACAGAATGAGAACAGGCAGGTAAGCTTGTTTTACTGCAGAAGAGACATAGCATTTACCAATCAGCTTCTCTCTTTAAATTTCAAAGCTTAACTAAAAAAAAAAAGAAGCTGATTGGTTGCTAAGGGCAACTGCTCCAGATTCTGTCTGCCCCCACAATTTATAAATGCCCGTGTGCCCTAAAGAAGACCGTACAATCAGATTGTATAGTATATGGCCAACTGTACACACGATCCCTCACAGTCAGCAAATACAATCTACTATTTAAAGAGTGTCAAAGCTCATCCACATAGTCCATCACATAAACATACAAATGCAGGATGCAAGCACATATGTAGATGAATACACATAGGTGAACAAAGCTAGTTTTCTTTTAAAGAGGAAAGCCTTGCTACTTTAAATTACAAATGCACACACATCACAGTATTTTTATATGATAAAACTGTCACCTCTTCTGCAACTGAGTCGGCTTCATCAGATCCGCCATCTTTCCGGGTAAGGAGTGGTGGCTCGGCGATCAGCTTAGTTCCCCTTAGCGGCATCAAATCGAGAACTCGGCGAAGGCTCTACCAATCAAATGGAACGCAAATGGAAACGCGGAAGTGCTGTTACTGGACGATGTGACGTCACGGGCTTTTTAGGTCCTGAGCCACAGTGAAGGTTTTCAGGATTGCTGGGTGGACGTTTTCAGTGTTGTCATTAACATTAATCATTAGTAACTGCCAGTTATAAGTGTATATTAACATAAACATGTGCACTTACACATATGCAGTGGATTTGATGAGGAATTCGAGCCAAAGTATTTTTTAATTTTAGATAAATACATTTAGACAGTGTTTGAATGTATGGCATGTTCCTTTTGCAGTCTTGTTACCAGCAGATAACAGCAATAAAACAGCTTTTATGCTCAGCATGTTCGGCTGACCCGAAGTGCAGAAGGAGCTCGCCTCAGCCGATCCAACATCTGGATCGGCTGAGCCGAACCTCCGGCAGGCTACTCACTGCTGTTTGGCCTATTCTTATAGATGCCGAACAGCAGTGAGTGAATAGCCGAATGCCGCTGAGCAGAATAGAAAAATAGTTAAAAAAGTAAATAGAAAACGATTGTGCCCAACAGTTTTCTATTGTCCGGTGGTTCTGCTGCGGTAAAAAAAAAAAATTATCTCCCGGGCGCTCTGGGAGCCTCCCGCTCCCGGCCGCCCAGGAGAGAAACACTGATTTTTCTTTTTTTTTTTCTTTATTTTGACACGGAGCCGTGTCAGAATAGAAAAAAAAAATGTTTTTGCCCATTGGAATGCATTGCTAGATTCCTATTGGCTATTTCAATTTGCAATAGCCAATAGTAAACTAGCATTGTACCCACCCTCTGCTGAACGATCTGATGGAGAACTGCAGCATAGGGCGGGTACAATGCTAGTTTACTATTTGACTGGATAGCCCGTACAGCAGCCCTTCGATTCTACTGAACCGAAGGGGTCCTGGGGCCAAAGCTAGCCGAAGGATCGGCCGAAGCTACGGCTAGATCCTTCGGCAGCTTAGTGAATAGACCCTTAAAACTTCCATAAGCTTTATTAGATCTGGTTCACACCAGGCCCTTGTAAAAAGTTAGGCAGTGTTGTCTAGGGTTGCCACCTTTTCTTGAAGCAAAACCCGAACACCTAGCAACGCGCTGACATTTTTGGGGGGAGAATGAGTAGTGGCTTATTTATATGTAAATAGTGCCACCCATTCATATGTAAATATCACAGTTGAGACTATTTCCAGTGGGGGGCCAGTATCCCCTATCTTAATTTTGGTTGCCCCTGTATGTATGACACCTTGTGTCCGGGTTTCTGCTGCAATGAAACCCGGACACAGCATTCAAAACCCGGACTGTCCGGGTGAATCCTGGACAGGTGGCAACCCTAGTGTTGTCCAACCCAGACACAAAGTGAAGACCAGGCAATAGGACTTGTTCATATCAAGGGACTGCATTGATGTGCATTGCAATAAAATGATGTCTGCATTAGGTAGTGAGTTATAACGCATGTCAATGCACTACTGTGTGGAGACTTGAATGAAGTGTAAATTGGTGACGCTTCAAATTAAGTCAAAAAAAGTAAACAGTGCAATGCACTGTAACACCACATCGTACCGGCCCACATTGGCCCTACATTACAAGCAAGTCCACAATTTAGAGCGCCGGATGGTGTGAATTTCCTGCTGAAGGTTACCTATCACTTCCTTAGTTTTAAGTGGATTTACACTTTAAATTAATCAAAGGTCAACATGTTATCAGGGGCCCCATATATCTATTTTCTCATTAAATGTTTACTCAGTATGAATACAAGTTACTTTATAATTTTCCTTAGTAAATGTAAATAGAAGATTAAAGGACAAGTGCACATTATAACAAAGTGAACTTATCCCTTTTTTACACCTCCATAGGGGCTAATGTAGCTTACCCTACTCCCTTCCAAATACGGTACATACTTACCTTGAAATTGCATCTGCCACCATTTATTTATATCCCACCAGCAAATCTTCTCCGCACTGGCTACACCTCCACAGTAGCTTCCCATAAACTTATATAGGACCACCCAGTGGCAGACCTAATAACCAAAGGGCCCTGGTGCAAGATTTTATCTTGGGCCCCCCTCCCCCTTGGGGTGCGGGGGAGGGTGGGGGCGCGGCAGGCAGTTCTCGTCAAAATATCAGGCAGTTCTCGTCAAAATAGATACACAAGCAGTGGAAATCAGGTTGCCTTTCATTGAGCAAAGCGCATGCTATGGATTTTCTTGTTTCTTTATGGGTATTTTTGTGGCTTTTAAACACTTGTAACTGCATTCCTGAGCAACCTGGTGATCTGTCTCAGATTGTTGCAACCTCGAGGTTGCAAGGATCTGAGAGAGATGTGCCAGTGTAGTTGAGACAAGTTTTCACTCAAAACACTTGCATAATTAGGAGGTGCTATATTTCATATTAATGCACTGGTTCCTTTAACCACTTCAAGACCAGGTGTTTAGACCCCCTTCCTGGCCAGGCCATTTTTCAGTATTCAGCGCTGCGATACTTTGACTGACGTTTATTCCGTCATGCAGCGCTGTACTAGAATATAGTAAATCTACTGTCTCATATCTGCCGCACTGCTCCTACTTTACTCTGAATTGCTGTACAACATGCAGAGTTGATCTCCCCCAACATCCAGGGCCGGTGCTAGACTATTTTGCGCCCTAGGCAAGACCAGCTACTTGCACCCCCACCCCCATTCCCGTGGCGCAACCCCCAATCCCCCTTCCCCTGCACGGCCCCATTCTCCTGCCGGATAGCATCTGCAGGTGAATGTAAGCAGCCGGGAGCAATATCCAGACTGCTATTGACTATATCAATTTGAAATAGCCAATAGCAGGCTGGCTATTAAAACTCTCCCACTGAGCAGATGAGCAGAAGTGACAGAGAAAGTTGTCTCTCAGTTCCGCTACTCTGCTCAGTGGGCGGGTACAATAGCCTGCCTGATATTGGCTTTTGCAATTTGAAATAGACTGGAGTGGGGGGCACAGGGGGGTTCGAGGCTGCGCCCTAGACAGCAGTGTGCCCTAGGCGGATGCTTAGTTTGCTCTTGGAATTTTAAACTTGCAGGTAGCATTATAAGATTTTCAAATTGGAAGTGTAGGCTTTACCCATTGAGGAGCTAGAAATGACTGTATCTAGTCATTCATTGATTTTGTCAATACCCATGCTGCTTAACAGCGCCATAAGAAACTTACTGTTTTGCGATGACATTGCATTGTCTAGGGGGGTCTCATCTTTGCTGATGAAATGTGGCAGACCTGTGTCTTAACTCACTTCCAGTACATGGATTGTGATTGTCTCAGCTATAGATGGAAAGACTGGCACATTTTGGCTCTGCATATTCTCTTTCAGCAGTTAGTGAAGGCATTAGCTTTGCTATCCTAACTTAACATTTTAGCAGTGTATAATAAATTATATTTATTTTATACCACACATGTTTTTTTTTTTTTTTGCAGCACATTTACTAAGTTACATTTGTTTCATTAAAATTGCTACAGTTTCAGTCTGCAAAGTCAGCCCTTTCACAGGCTAGAAACACTGTACATCTGAAACAAACAAATTAATCACATGATTTAAAGTGACACTAAACTCAGGCGGTAAACCTTAAACATGCTTTCAAGTATATTACCTATTAACATTAATATAATTTATTTGTGTATCACTCAGCTGTTGGTCCTCAAATCATCTCTGAATTGGTGCTGACACTGTCCTTCCTTCTGGAGGGTGGCGACTTTTGTTCCCCATGGTCCCTGTGTGTGTTGTAAAGCAGCCACTTCTCCAAACTCACTCCCGTAAGGGACTACAATCTCATGTTTAGTTTACTATTATTTATATTGAGATTGTAATCCATCATGGGAGAGAGCTTGGAGTAGTGGCTACTTTACAATACACAAGGACCATGGGGAATAAAAGTAGCCACCCTCCAGAAGGAAGGACAGTGTCCGCATCAATTCAGAGATGATTTGAAGATCACAGGGACCATGGGGAATAAAAGTAGCCCCCCTCCAGAAGGAAGGACAGTGTCCGCATCAATTCAGAGATGATTTGAGGATCTACAGCTGAGTGATACACAAATAAGATACAATTTGTTAATAGTTAAGGAACTTGAATGCATTTTTAAGATTTAACTCCTGAGTTTACTTTAAATAGTAAAACACAGGAACCAAAAATTTTGTTCATGATCAATCTATTTTTTTTTTAAATTCCTTTATTGCATAAAAATATATAAGAGCATTTCTGAACCAATCTAGACATGTTTAAAGCTAAAAATAACTTTCTATGGCTCTGTTTGCACAATACCGTATATTAAATTTGTGGTTATAGCCTTTGGTTGTACTATCCATGGCCACTAGATGGTTCTGTACTACAACCAAAACATGTTCTTGTTCGCAACCTTTAAGTTATGTGATACATAGAGTGCCTACAGCACAGTCATATAGTTTCAGTCTTTAAAATAATTAGTAACTGAAAGTTCATGTTAGCATGATGACAATGGCATCACATAGGTCACTTTCTGTGTGAGGATTGTACATAATGAAACAATGAAACAATAAGTAATTTTACAAATGTGGTTACATTATTATAAATCATAATTATGATTTTTGACTTAGCTTTTAAAGTAACCCAGTTGGAAACCTGGGCAATTAAAATGAGCATATGCTAAAAAAAAGACTTAACATGTGTGGAAACTGCCTCATTCACACACCTGGCGGAATTTACTGCCTACCTAAAAAGCAGTCTGCAGTGACTCGCTTTTCAGAGTTGACCAGGGGTTTGCAGGCATTCAGGAGGCGATACTGCTGTCTCCTGAATACCTGTTTTGCTTTTTTTATCCAAGGGTATTTTTACTTCGAAATTTGGTGATGCAACCGCATGCCAGAGATTTGGCACGCAGTTGTAGCACGATCTCATTAGCCTATAATGGGTGCATTTGGAAAGCAGCACCGCCTGCCAAAAGTAATTTACGCAGTTTAACTTACTGCACCACGAAGCTAGAA